AGCCGGCACAGAAAGCAGAGGCGAATAGATCGGCGCATGCGGCGCCAGGCAGCTCAACTGCAGGGACTTGCCAAAGCCCCGTCGCCTCCACATCCTGTGCAGCGGCGTATGTTATGACTCTGTCCAACTGCATGACTGCATTTATGCTCTCTGATCTCACTCTCCGGTTCCTTCGGCCACTCTGCCTCGGGCCACATGACTGACCTGAAGCGCTTTCAGCACCAGATTCCTCTGTGCTGTACTTCACGGGGCGGTGAAGACACTGTGCGCGAAGAGGGCACGCTACACACTCTGTTCGGCTAGCCCGAACCTTCATCCCGACTGTCCGATCCTGACGCCCCTCCGGCTACGAACCCAGATCAAGATCTGAAAAACCATAAACCACCGGTGACGGCTTCGTGTTCGCACCGACAGAAGAAGCCCCAAGCCCAGCCCTGAGCTCCAAACCCCCCAACACCCTTAGCCAACGGTTTACGTTAAACCACAAACTCCAACCCAAATTCCTGAACCTTGAACCCTCAACCCTCAACCCTAAACCCAAATTCCTGAACCTTAAACCCTCAACCCTAAACCCTAAACCCCAGCCCAAAGCTGCCATTCGAAGCCTGAAACTGATTTCCAACAACAGAGTCCCCAAAGCTGTCATTTGACGCCTTAAACTGATTTCCAACATGTCCAAAACAGAGGAGCTTCCATAAACCCTCATAGAAGTTTTCCAGGAACAGAGCCCTGGATTCCCGGCCTGTGTCACGGCTCGGGGTCCCACGAAAAGGCGGGGGCCGGGTAAAGCCAAGGCACCTGAAACAGGATTTGGATAGGGGACAGGGTTTGCTAGGGTGTTAAACGGTAGACGGCTTACATATAGGAGCTTGAAGGGTTTGATAAGATTTTACATATCAGGGTTTGTTAGGGTCTTACAGGGTTTACGTACAAGGGTTCCTAGCGGTTTGAGAGGATTTCGCACAGTCCTGAACTTCCCGACTGCGCGGTATAGTATACAAGGGCTTCAGGACAGATCGGCGATGCCGGGAGATGACCGTCAGGAGTACCGCAACCACCTTCTGCCAATAAGGTTTTGCGGCTTCCTATAAGGGTTAGTCTTAAAGGTTCCTTTAAGGGTTCTATGGGGGTTGAAGGTTTCGGGTGGCACTTGGAGGATCAGGGGACCTACAATAGTAAGAACGGTGAAAAGTGCCGTAATTGGGGGGCACAAGCAATTTGAGAACTAGAGTTACCTGGAAACCCTCGTTACTCAGTCCCATGGCCGTTTAAGTAGGATTCTTCGATGTTACTCGAAGGCCTCTAACCCAATGACCCTAAAATCATGGCACTCTGTCGCCCCGAGCTTCGCAAACATTCCTGCTAGGATAAGCGCGCAGACGAGTTCAGGCAGAAACTACGAAGGCCTATCGATGTCAGCGACGAATGGAGTCTAGTTGATACATTTAAATCGAAATCAAAGACGGGCCATGTTAGCCATAGCGAAGCTGCATTGAGCCAGCGCGCACACACACACACACCTAGCTTCTTCAGTGTCACAGCGACAAGCAACCTTCTAACAAGACGTAGACTGGACTGTGGCTTTAGGGAATCCATTACGGTTCCTGGAATCCCACCCTGAAATACTAATCCTAAACCCCTAAATCCAGACACCCTACACCCTGAACCGTTTATGCCCAGTAATCCGAAACACCTAAGCTATAACCTTAGAGTTTACACCCTAAACCTCTACACTCTGCACCCTACAGCTTCAGACTCTAAATACCCTTATAGATCCCTTTCATGGACCTCTTAACGGAACCCTTAAAGGAACCCCTGTACCGATTTTCAGCCGCGGAGCCCAGAAGGACCAGCACTGACCCTTCGCAGCACGCTTTGGGCCAGGCTCCTCGACGGGCTAAGGATCTGAAGTCTAAGCTGTTTTGGTTTCAAGGTTTGGGGTTTAAGGTTTAGGGTTTAGGGTTTAGGGTTTAGGTCAGTTTAGAATGTAGGGTTCAGGGAGTAGGAGCTTAGGGTGTAGGGTTTAGGCTCAGGCTTGAAGGGAGACCGCTGTTATTGGGACTAGGATCCCATTTCAATCCCTACGAAGGGAGGGAGGTTTGCTTATCAATAATCAGTGCTCTACACTACTTAAGCTCTTGGCTTCCGTGGGTGGGGGAAATGGGTCCTGGAGGGTTTCGGCTTTAGCTTATGGTCTCAGGCTTCGGGTTTGGGGTTTATGCAGGGTACCAGGGTACCGAGGTTGGCTAAATTCCCTTTCTTAGCCAGTATCATGGGGAACTAAGGACTAACCTCTGGGAGTGGATTGGGATTGTACTTATATTGGGGTTATGGTGCCCCAAAAAAGTTAGAGGAAAGCCACTCTCTAGGATGCTGTAGAATCCCACGACAGCGACACGAACAGCCTGACACCTACCAGCTACACGTTTACGCTTCAAAAACCTTGAGCCCCAAACCCTAAACCTTATAAGCCCTATAAGCCCTATAAACCCTATAAACCCTAAACCCTGCAAACCCCCAAACCCTAAACCCTAAATCCAACAACGAGCATCGGAGAGTCATGGCAGCAGAGGCTTTAGACTGTGGTGTTCGTGCTCTACGACGTCCTCTGCGTAGCTTGTCTTGCCAGAGAGACGTTTGCACTGTCGTGCCCGGAAGGGTCTAGGGTCTAGGGGACCGAAGAAACATTCTTCAGTATGGCACTCCAGCAATGGAGTCGCCGAAATAGTACCCTCAAGGCCAGAAGCCCACATCGCTCTTCCAATTTATCTTTCACCGGCCGGTACCTGACCGCAACATACGGCCCTCTTCCATGGTGCATGAGGCCCACCGAAACATGGGTCCAGTTCTTACTGGGAAAGAGTCGATGTTCTTCTCTTTGAGCCTCTGCGAAGCACCACATCATCTGAGACACCTTGTGGACCGACGTGCCAGGAACTGTACTGGACGCGGCTTTCCCCGCCCTGTGAAACTCATCTTGCCAGAGCCGTTCCGGCAATCTGTCTGGGAAGGCAGCACCTTTCTGTCTCCCGGAGCTTGTGCTGGTTGTCAGGCTTAGGGTTTGGGACCCTACCACCAGAAGCCGAGGCGCTGATCCAGAAGACCTACCCAAAAGGCGCGCAAACCCTAGACCCTATCAAATCGCAACACCCCCCTAAACTAAACACTAACAACCCCAAGACCCCGAACCCGAAACCCCGAACCCTCAACCCCAAACCCTGGACCCGTCCCATCAAGACCCTTCCCGACAGCTGCCGCAAGTCTAGGAGTCTAGATGCGATAGATCCCTACATCCGTTAAAACCCTTAAGGGAACCCTCAAAGGAACCCATTAAAGGAACCCTTGAAGGAGCCCGTTTGAGGGAACCCTTTAACACGAGCCCAAAAGTTAGAAGGAACCCTAAGGAGAACCCTAACCCTAAACCCTAAACCCAAAGCCCTGAACCCTAAGCCCTAAACCCCTTCACCCTAAACCCTAGACCCTAAACCCTAAACCCTAAACCCTAAACCCTAAACCCTATAAGCCCTAAACCCTGGACCCGAAACCCTAAACCCTAAACCATAACCCTACACCCTGAGGACCCTCAAAGGAGCTCGCCTGCGACACGCCGATCCATGGAGGCCCATGCCGACCCCGTCGGGTCGCAAAGCAGTGCCTGATCGTGTCAAGACTTGGAGGGCTAAGGGTGTAGGGTTTAGGATTTGAGCCTCATGGTTGAGGGCTTAGGGTTTAGGGTTTAGGGCTTACGGTTGAGAGCTTAGGGTTTAGGGTTTAAGGTTTAGGGTTTTTTAGGTTTATCGTTTAGGGTTTAGGGCTTGGGGCTTAGGGCTTATGGTTGAGGGTTCAGGGCTTAGGGTTTTAAGGTTTAGGGTTTAGGGCTTAAGGGCTTAGGGGGTTTACCTTAACCTACCAAAACCCACGTCTTTGTTGGTTCTTATCATGAACCCCAATATGGGTTTGTAGGGGGCCCTATCCAAAAAGCAGAGTCTGGTGGGCTAAGGAAGGGCTTGGGTCTGGTGAACTGAGGCATCTTGAAATCACAGCGTGCCCATAGTCGCATTGGGTAGAAGCTCTTCTTTGCCGATGATCCCATGTTCGTCGTACCCTCAACCCTAAACCCTAAACCCCTAAACCCTAAACCCCAAACCCTAAACCCCTAAACCCTGAACCCTAAACCCTGAAGCCCTGAACCCCTAAATTCTAAAAGAAATGATAAGGTCCAGCATCTCCTGGAAACTGCTGCGCAAGATTCTTCGCAGAAGCTCCTACACCCTAAAACGCAGAAGAACCTCCAACAGCCCTAGAATCCTGCTAAACCCCACCAACCCCTCAGGCTTAGGATTTAGGGCTTAGGTTTCAGAGCACTCTAAAGCAACTCTAAGTTTCCGAAGGAGTGCCGGTGCTGGGCTGCAGGAAGCCCCGAACTGTGCGCCTCCACTTCGCCGGCTAGAACCTGGGAGAGCGGGGAACTCTAAACCCTATACCCTAAGCCCTAAGCCCTAAGCCCTAAACCCTAAACCCTAACCCTAAGGGGGTCTTGGGCCGCGATGAGGGGGCGGGGTCGAGGACTAGGGTGCAGGATTTGGGTTTCACTGGAACCTTAAACCCCCAACTCCTAAACCCTAAACCATTTAGGTTTAAGGTTTACGGCCTAACTCCTAAACCCTAACTAAACCATGTAGGGTTTAGAGTTTAGGGAGCCTAAACCCTAACGTCCAAAGCCTAAACCATTTAGCGTTTAGGGAGCCTAAACCCTAACTTCAAAACCCTAAACCATTTAGGGTTTTGGGTTTAGGGAGCCTAAACCCTAACTCCTAAACCCTAAACCCGAGGCGTTTTGGCTGAGACCGTCGGTGTAGTTTTCCTTTAGGATCCACCTTCGGTGCCATAACCCCAGTGCGGAACTCCACCTTGGCTTCCCTGTACGCGTAGCGAGGGGTCGTCCAACATCTGCCCCACAGTTTCTGTGGCTGGCTTTTGCCTCCCTTGGATTGGTCCAGGGAGTTTTGACATATTTGCCCCACTTCATAAGTGGCTGGCGTGGATACAGTGCATGTTCAACGTCCTCATTTCTGCTTGGGTGATTTGTGGACTTCTACCCCTAGGGGGTGCACTGAGCAGGAACAACGGTGGTGCGGGAAGAGGCCTGGCATCGCAACTTGCGGCGAGCCAGGACACGTGCCAGAACTGTTCTGCGGACTTTTACGAGTGGAGTATCCCACGACAGGAGACGAGTGACTGCGGCCATTGGGAGGCTGCGGAGTCACCATTCACAGTCGGTGTTGGTTGCGGCTGCGGTGCGAAGTTTGGACGTGATGTCGCAGCCTTGGCGGTGCAACAGCTGTGCTGTCACGAACAAAGCTATGGCGGTGTATTGCCCTTCCTGTGGTCGCCACTGGAAGAAGGCGATGCAGGCCTCCTACGCAGGTCAAGCCGCGGGGCATACAGACTCTACTTCGTGGACCTGGCAGTCGGACTCGCAGGCTTCAGGCAGGCCGAAGTCTCCACGACGGAGGTCACCACGGACGCGTACAAGAGGACAAGGCTCCGGGGAAGCGGGACCAAGCGGGGCGGCGCCAGCAATGCCTGCTCGTCCTGCCCCTCGGGCGCCCAAGACGTCACAGCTGCCGAAGCCACCGAGTGTGCCGGTGGTGCCAATGCCCAAAGGACATGGGTCGGCGGGGCAGCATTCAGAGGACAAGCGAATGCTACACGCCTTCGTCGAGCAGCTCTCCAAGCAGGACAACGTGCCGGAGGAGATCAGGGAGCTCATGGCGAAGGTGAGTGGCAACAAGTTTCAGCAGGAGGCCAAGGAGCTTCACAAGATGGTTCAGACAAGGACCTCTGCCTTCTCCGCCCTCAACCAGATCGATTCGGACAGGGCGGTGTACGAGCAGGCATGGGCGAACTACAGTGCGTCGCTCATCAAGATGCTGCAGGATCAGTTGCAGCAGAGGCAGCAAACGCTGCAGGAGTTCGATACAGCTCAGGCAGAATGGACTGCCAAGCTCAAGACGGTTACGCAGCAGATCAAGCAGACTACGCAGCCAGGTGCAGGCTCCAGTGCGGAGGTTGCCTATGTGGACAGCTCCGAGGGCGAGGACATGGAGGCCGAGGTTGCGGAGGATGCAGAAAGGGATGCCAAGCGGGAGCAGCGGCGGCAGGAGATGCTGGCGCAGCACGACACGATCCTGCAAGCCCTGCAGCAGGTGCAGGACTGGGCCTTGGCCAACTCGGAGCGAAGGGAGGGCTCCAGGACGCCACGACGACGAGCAGAGCCTGCTGTGGAAGTGAAGCAAGAACCAGGCGTTGGTCCCAAGGCCAAGGCAGCTCCCGCCGCAGTCGCAGCAAAGGATGCAGCGGCTGGTCAAGGTGCTGGAAAGCATTTTGGCTGAGCTCTCTCGCGTGCCGACCGGACACGGGGGAGCTTATCTCTCCGCCTTTCTGGCTTCGAGTCAAGCATAGCATCTTCGAGGACGGCGATTTTGTCGATGACCTGCATGCCGGACTGGCGGCCTGTGCCTGGAGCTTCGAATGCCAGGTGCCAAGCTGCCACTTTGTGCCGCTGGACCCCCGAGTCAAGCCGTTCCCTTGTCATGGTCACCACGGTGTGACACCTTCCTCGTTCCAGGGATCCTGCCGCGTGGGATGCGGAAGTGGACCTGACGAAGAGGGAGGGTCACCTTTGGTGGGCATGACGAGATCAGATGATGGTTCCACGACGGCGCTGAGGAGCTGTCTGAAATCTCTTGAGAAGCCCTGTACAGGACGCGGTAGGGTGTACAGTGTTTCTTTTTCTAAGGCCGTGCAATGCTGCCCACTTCGTCCTGTTCCAGACTTTGATCTAACTGAGGTTGTTAGGTCGTGCCTTGTCAACTTCTGCGGCCGTGACCAGGGCGGTTCCCTGTCGACCCCTGGCACGGTTCGCCTCTCCTGCCCACTGCATTGCCCCACTAAGCTGTGCATACCTCGCTGCTGCCAGGGCGGTTCCTTGTCGACCCCTGCTGCAGACCTCGCCACTGCCAGTGGACCCTTCAGCATTGCTCCGTTGCCACGCTCTCGTTCACCGCGCGTGCTGCTCAAGGCGGAGGCTGCTCCCAGTGTGATGCCCGGTTTGCTCTTGCAAGAGCAGCTGGTCTCCAATGCCCAGGGATCCCGGCACCTGCAGGAGAATGTTCAGGCTGCTGCAGCGGGCGCGCATCATGGCAGTCGCTCCCTTTTCTCCATTCTGGAACCCCGCTCGGATCATCTTTCCCGCGGTTGTTTCGCATGGTGGGGCCGTGAGGATTATGTTGCATACGCCAAAACAGTTGTGCCATATGTTGTACGCACAGCACGTTTTCTCCATACGGAGATTCCAGGAATCCCTTCTCCTCAGCTCTTGCTTACTGGTGCGGCGGAGCTACGTGGACATAAGGCTTGCCCGGTTGACTTGCGTGCTGTCGGCGGTCAGTTGCATACTGTTGTTCTCCCTCCGGCTGGAGATGTGAGCATCATTGGCCGCCTTCTCCATGATAAAGGAGCGGCTGATATTGATCTGCCTCCGGACGGTTGTGACTTCTTTGCGCCTGATGGGTCGCGTGTTGTTTCCTGGACTTGCGGAGCGGAGTTGCCGGAATGGCTCTCTGTTGCTGTCGGCCTTCCTGTGTCGGGCCCGCGGCCCTTCTGGCCTACAGAGGTGGCAAGAATCCTGGCTGCAGGGGTTGAAGTTACGCCGTCGCACCTCAACGGACCGTTGATGTCGGTGGTCCTTGGGCGGCTTGCTGAGCTTGAACAGCCGGATTTTGACCCTTCGACGCTGCGTGGGCACTACACCGTCTTCGAGGTCAGTGAGCGGCCCCGTACCAGGGCTTCATACCGGGACTGGACCCTGGCGGATTACGTTGCTGATGCATGTGTAGGGGCACGCAGGGTTCCACGTGCTGTTCAGGTTGTTTCTCGGCCCATACACGGCTACCCTGTGCCTCAGTTGGTTCTGACACCGCGAGACGCCGAGGCGGGACACCAAGCCCTCCTGTGTGACTGGAGGGGCCGTGGCCATGGAGTTGTTACTGTCTTGTGCCCGCCCTCCGTTGATGTTGGGCGCTTTGAGGAGCTCATTGAGCGCGATCTACCCTTCCCTGGGCGCTTTGTGCCGGCGGCTGTGCCTGTGGTCATGATCCAGGATGCCTTTTCACGTCAGCATCTCCGTGTGGCCACACCTGTTTGTCAGTATGACTGGGTTGTCCCGGTTCTGGACATACAGGAGCAGGAGCCTGATACTGGGGCTACTTCTTCTGATCCGGTTGCCTCCACTACCCAAACGGTCACATGTAAGCTGCCTTTTGAGGACATCGCAATGGCGCCCGAGGGCACTGCTAAGCAGGTTGCTGCGCGCAGACCTTCCACTCACTCTGGGTCTGGCCCAGCAGTGCCCCATGTTCAGTATCGCCCTCTGGAGCTTGTGCAAAATCTGGGCTCACAGCCTCTTGCTGCCAGCTTTCTTTTTCCCGATCTCGCAGGTGCCGGCGGCAGCGGCCTTGCTGTCGGGACACATTACTTCGCTGTGATAGCGTGGGACAGGCCAGTCGGTGTCTTACCGGCTGCTGCGGACTGGTCGCTGGCCAGTTTTTTTCAGGCAGCGGAGACATGGCTGGGACATGCTCCGCGCATTGCCCTGCTTCTTACTCACAGCGTGCCCAATCTTCCTGCGCCCCAGTTCGTCTTGACAGACTATGACGTGCCTGCTAGTGCGGAAGTAGTGCCCCTTGACCTGCGACCGTGGGGTGGCGACGTTGTGCCTCTGGTTGCTGTTCCTGGCAGTGCTGTTGGTGACGTATTGAACCACCTTCCGGGACTACCGCCAGTGCTTGGCCAAGTGCCCTTGCATCATGATCTGTTCTTGCAGGACGCACGCGGAGGCCTGCATGCACACATCCCTGAGGACCTCAGCGATGTACAATGGTTTCGGGTTTGTCGTGCGGTTGTTGGCCCTGATGCTTCGCCTTTTGGCTGTGCGGATGGCGTCCTCACTTCTACTTCAACCACTACCACGGGCATGCATGCTGAGAGTCGGTCTGTTCGGTTTGTGCTTACTGGAGGGGCCACCACGCTCCAGCTCCCGCCTGTTCCGGTTAGTGAGGCCGATCCGGTACATGCTATAGGGGAACTACTGTTTGCCGTGGCGGCTTGTGGTAGGCTGAAAGAGGGCGCGGCGGTCACCCTGGGTGCGGGTTGGCCAGCCCCCTCGCGCAGAGGCGAATACATTGTTCCCTTTGTAGTTTCGGCGTTTGGGGATGAGGTGCAACAGTCTGTGCTGTTCGACCCCTCCTATGACGGGTCGCAGCTTTATGCGATGGGTGTGCAACAGGGTTTGCATGCGGAGGACCTCATGAGTACCAATTACCGCCAGTGTGGACTCACCCTTTGGGTCAATGGCGTTCATAGCTCTGCAGTGATTCGGCCGCTCCGAACAGGGGATTATGTCCAGTTGTTACCCAACCGGGTCATTACTGCCCCTACGGCTATTCATCCAGAGGTCCTGCTCAGCTCCATCAATAGGCTGCGGGCCATTTCAGCCCCACTTCTCGTTCCGGACTTTCCCAGGGTTGCTGCCCGTGCTTCCCACGTCGATGCAAGAGTTCGGTCCAGAGCCGCCCTGCACAGTGCCCTGGATTTGTCAACGCGTGCAAGGGTAGAGCTCATGGGGCTACCGCCGCAGCCCGGCCAGGCGGCTCAGCCCATCGTGCTCTTGGAGCCGGGGCGCGCGCCCCATCACCTTTACCTGCCGTTGAGGCTTACGCCCACTCTCGAGGAAGCAGAGGACTCTTTGCGGGATACGCACATCGTCCCGGCCACATATCGATTTGTGGATACGCTCCTTGATTCTAGAGCGGCATCGGTGTTCATTGCCTGTGCGACCCACAGCTGTTTGGGGCATTCAATTTGTTGCACCTGCCTCGGAATGTCCACCCCCCTCGGCACAGGCTGCCTGTTCGTCAAGGTTTTGTTTTGGCGCTGCCGGCTAGGATTGAAGATGGAGCACATGTTGCCACTGCCCGGCCCATTACATATGCCCCTGTCGCACGACGTTCGACCACTGTTCGTTCCACGCCTAGCCGGTCTGAACCAGCTTCTGCAAGTGCGTCTATGGACACAGCTGTTTCTGGGGCGGCTGCTTCCAGTCTTTCGGAGACGATGCCACCTGCCGATGAACCAGCTGCACATCCGGAGCCTACGCTCAGTGAAGGCACGTCTCTTATCCAGATACCGGATTATGCGCATGCGAAGAAACTGAGGTGCCGACAAGCCAGGCAAAGAGGTGTTCCGCTCGAAGGCTGCCAGGACCTCGAGGCTCCTCCACAGGCTTCTTTCCTGGTTAGTGTTGCGACCCCTTTTGGGCGCCGGGGTATTCCAGCGCAGGATAAGAGTGCCTGTGCAATGGTGCAGCCGGAACCAGAGCGGACCATGCTGTCCCTTTGTGACCTTGTGCCGCAAGCCGATACACCGGTTGAGGGTGTCATTCACTTCCCTGTCCCGGCCGAGTTGCCAGATCAATGCTGGGAATCCTACGACATAGCTGGCTTTGCACGAGAGATGCCCGCTGGACTGCGTCTGCATCCCGCGGCGGCTGACCTCCTGGGCAAGCTTGATCACTGGGATGGGTTGACAGGCTTCCAGGCTGCTATGTTATATGTGGACGGATCATTCCATAACAAAAAGGCAGCGTGGGCGGTCGTTGCTTTTGTTCTGGTTGATGGAGTGTGGCTGTGGGCCGGTTTCATTGGAGGATCACTTGCTGAAGCTTTCAATGCACAGTCGGTCTATGAAGCGGAGCTGATGGCGCAACTGGCAGCGCATTGCACGGCTGCAGGATGCTCAGTGCCCACGGTCATCTATTACGACTCCACGTCGGCAGCCACCGCCGCTGATGGCAGAATCTCTTTGCGGCAGCCGCATCCCATTGCAGAGGCGGTCGCGTCTATCGCGGTCTTTCTTCAGTGTAAAGGCAAGCGACCGCTGTTGCAGCATGTGGCAGCGCACACTGGCAATCCGGCCAACGAACTGGCTGATTCCTTGGCAAAATTTTTCTTGGACCCGTGCGCACCCAAGGGACCTGATGCTGTCGAGCCTATGGCCGATTCCATTCTTCGGGGTGACCTTGGCTGGCTTTGGGTGAGGGCTGCTTCTGGGGTGATGTTGCCCTCTCTTGATGTGCATGGCGAGTCCACGCCGCTTCGTGCTGTGAGCACCCCCAAGAGCCTGGTTGCTCCTGCTGCTTACGCTCCGGGTTCTAGGCAGGATAGCGTTCGGGTTACGGACTGTGCGATGCGGCTTTGCACTTATAATGTTCTGTCTGCCAAAGCTGCTCTGCAGCGGTCTTCAACCGCTTAATCGCAATGCAAATCATTGGTTGGCGATTCTCCGGGAGTACGGCCTATGTCAGACGGGTGTTCGCAGCTCTGCTGGGGAGCTACTTCGGACCTGGGTTTCGCCATCAGGTCACAGCGCCTGCCTTGACTACATTGCGTACCCGGCTGAGTGGTCCGGTGGTGTCGGTGGTATCCGTACAGTCGCTTTTCTTGACGAGTTCGCCGGCTTCGACCATTTCCCCCTGCTGGCAGATGTTAAGCTGCGGCTTGAGACTGCTGTGCACCAGTGTCAGGCCTACGATGTGGAAGCCATGCACAGTGAGGCGGGACGCACGTGCATTGCAAAAATTTTCGAGGCAGCCCCCACTATCCCGTGGACGCAGGATGTTGATGGGCATGTTGAAGTGCTCAGTGAGTACATTCATGATCAGCTGGCCACTCACTTCCTTCCCAGCACAGGCAATGAAGCCGCGACACCCTGCCATATCCCATCACACCTGGGGACTTTTGCGCAGCAAGCGAGCCCTGCGGCGCAGTCAGCGTCATCGCCGAGCTTGGCTAGGCAGGCAGCTTCTGCATGTGCTTTTCGGTGCCTGGCGGAACTGTGTCAGAGGGGAGGGTGATATAAATGTTGCGCAATTGCGTGTACGTGTCAAGGCTGCGGACCGCCAGGCCGCGACTTTTGGTGCCAGGATGCGTGAGTTGCAGACGCGGATCCGCGCCGCTTATAGAGCCGATGTAGCTGCCTTTACGCGGCACATGTGGTCCGAGGCCAAAGGTGCAGGTCCCGCGGAGCTGGCGCGTGTCCTTCGCTCTGTGTTGAAGGCAGGGCGTAGCTACAAGCCGCCGCGTGTTGCAGTCGCTTTAAACACTCCTCAAGGTCCGATTGTTGAGCCGGGTGAGGTGGCTGATCTCTTTGGGCGCACTTTTGCAGTTGCGGAACATGCTGCTCCGGTGGACTTTGCTGCTTTACAGGCATGTGATCCGGCACTGGACTGTGTTGATCAGCGTTACTTGGCAGAGCAGCTGCCGTCGGTCACCACAGTTGCGGCGGCTTTTAGCTCCCTTAAACCCAGGCGAGCCTCTGGCCCTTCCCGCATTCCAGCGGACTTCTACGCTGCGGCCCCACTTGCGGCGGCGCTGGCGCATATGCCGGTGCTGCTTAAGACTCTTCTGCGTGCACGACTGCCGTTGTTGTGGGGCGGTTGCGTCTCGCGGCCGCTTCTGAAGCCGGGAAAGCCTGCAGATGACGTGGCAAGCTATAGAGCTATTGCTCTACAAGAGCCTGCGGCCAAAGCCCTCAACAAGGCCCTCCGTCCTCAGCTCTGTGCCCGGTTTGAAGATGTTGCGTTGTCTGGAGTTGGAGGAGCGCGTCCTGCCTTTGCCCTCTCAGTGCCTTCCCTGACGGTGCAATCGGCCTTGGCCTATTCGTGCAAGCAGGGCCTTTCCGTGAGTGCGCTGTTCCTTGATGGGGTGGCGGCCTTCTATGCCACATCCCGAGCCACTCTGTTCACTCAGGATCGTGTTGCGCTGGAGGCCAGGTTGAGGCAAGGACCTTATGCGGATGATGTTGTGGCTGCTTTCCTTGCCTTCTTGCCGGAGGAGGGCTCACTTGCGGGTGCCGGGGTGAACGAGGCAACGTGCGACTTCCTGCGAGCCTCGATGAAGCGCACTTGGTACACTACCAATCCCCAAAGTGCTCGGGTCTATGAGACGTCCAAAGGCACCATACCAGGAGCACCGCTGGCGGATATCCTGTTCCAGTATGTGTTACATGCGGCAATCAGCGCGTTGGACTTTTTGCTGAAACGAGATGGGCTTGCTTTGCAGGTTGCGGGTCAGTCGGCTGCGCCCTGCTCTTGGCTTGATGACTTGACGCTGCTGGTCTGCAGTACTCACGCTGCTGGTTTGACCAAGGCCACCGTTGCCGCTGCGTGCCTGGCCCACCAATGCATGGGTTTAATTGGCATAGATGTCAATTACGGGCCTAATAAGACTGAAGCCCTCATGATCTGGAAGGGGCCAGGGAGCCAGAAAGCCCGCGCGAGTGCGCTCTTGGAGGCTGGGGGCAAACTCTGTCTCGGGGATTTAGGACAAGGCACTAGGTGGCTGCGCTGCACGGACAATTACACCCATCTGGGTTCTGTGCGAGCAACGGCGGCGACGGCTACTGCGGACTTGGAGCGTCGCGCCAGCCTGGCTCATGTCCTGTACCGTCCGCTGCCGAGCCGACTCTTGAACAACCCTGAGCTTACCCTGGCGGAACGGCGTAACCTGCTCTTCGCCGGTGCCTTTGCGTCTTACCTGCATAACGTCGGCACATGGACTTTGTCGACAGGCGCAGAGCAACGCCTGTACCAGCGACACTACATGAAGCTTGTCAAGGGCTCCATTCGGCCCCTTTTCGGGGTGCCGAGCCGTCGCTTAACAGATGTCCAGGCATGCGCTGTGGTCGGGGCTCTCACTCCTCATGAAGCCTTGGCGTCGAGTCGCGTGCGTGTCCTTGCACAGGTGGCTTCGCGTGGTTCCCCTTTCTTGTGGGCTCTCTTGATAGCTGAAAGGGAGTGGCTTGTTGCAGCCCGTGGCGCCCTCGAACTTGTGCACTCGGTGGTCTCCAATCCGTCCGTTAAGGAATACCTTGCCGGTGGACTCGCGGACTCATTCTCGGCTTGGCCTTTCACGGCGGCGCAGGTTTCCGGCCTGCTGCGCAAGTTCAAAAAGATTGCGGTTGCATCTCGCAACGACCTGGCTGAAGAGGCGCTTGCTAAAGCCACAGTCCATCACCAGGCAGCCACTTTGGGTTTCGTCTTTGTCAGGCTGGCCGACAAGCCCGTTGGCGGAGCTATTGCCAGATGTGAGGACTGCGGGCAGACTTTCGGGTCTGTGGCTGCCTGTGCAGCTCATCGGAGTGCTGTTCATGGGCTCAAATCTGAGGCGTCCCACGGGTTTGGGACGGACTGTCAGGTCTGCGCTAAGCGCTACTGGACGCGAGCCAGGCTCAGGGATCACCTCCGTAGATCCGCAGTGTGCGCCTCGGTGTACAAAAACTCCGATATTCAGGAGGGTCAGCTGGTTGCGCAGGCCCCTGGGCAATGTAATCTGCCAGTGGTCCCACTCATCGGACCCCGTCCATGGTGGGCGACGTTAGTTCCCCGTAACGACACGGAGTGCCTACCCACTCCTGCTCTCTCCTTTGAGCCTCATGTGGCCTTTTGCCGATACCGCTACCACATGAACTACCCCGCTTTCTTTGCCTGTTGGAGTAGAGCAGTAGAGACTGGACACCTGGCAGCATTGCTTCAATATTTCGGCCTTCAGGAGGAAGGCACGCCCGAGTGGATGCTGGCCACGAGGGTTGTTTTGGCTCTCGGCCGTAATCAAACTGGTCAGTTTGTGCAGGACCAGCTTGTTGCGGTTGTGAGGGAGGGCTGCGTTTTGTTTGGTCCGAAGCAGGCCCTGAAGGCGTTGAGCGAGCTCCGTCTAGATTTGCTTTAGGCAATCTGCATGTGTTTGAATTCAGGAGCGCGTCGCGAGACACTGGCCACACCGGAAAAAAACCCTAAACCCGAATGTGCGAGCCTCGCCAAGCACATCCTTCGATCGGGAGTTCGACCCCGAGGGAACAAAAGCAAAACCTGAAGCCGAACACCCACCAGGGTGGTTGTCAAAATTGTGATCCCTGTTTGGGTCCTTATTATAATACGGCACCTATTATTTAGGGTACCCCAAAAGGGACCATAGTTTTGACAACTACCCACCTGAACCCAAGACCCAGAACTGGCCCCGAAACCCTAAAACCCCAAAACGCTTTGCCCGAAACCCATACGTGCAGCCATAAAACACCTGCTTGCTATGCCGCACTGTTGGAGCAGCTTGTGTTTTCTGCTTGCACACAACTGCAGAAGGACATTTATGTAGCACAATGAGAAACAGTTACTCATACTCAGACCCTAAACCCCAAAACCCCTAA